GGGAGGGAAAGGGGAGACAGCGGTCAGGAAGAGACAGAAATCTTTAATAAATAAATAAAATATGCACACATATAACACACACACACACACACACACACACACTGCTACCTACAGTGGAATATTTCCACAGATGGCTTCTTACAAAAGATTAGGTCGCTAAGAACTTTGAAAAATTATGTAATAAAATTTCAGTCTCAACTCATGGGGAAATTTTAAAATATAAATTGAAAAATAAGACTATTTCATAATTTTAATAAATGGGGTTCACAAACTTTAAGTCAAGTAAGTTAAAATGATTGTTGTCAATAGTACTGACTTAGCTAATGCCCAGGATTTAATCCAGAGTCATTGAATAATCAAAAAAAAGAGTTTTCTTCTTTTTCAAGTGAATCTTTATTAATTTTGATGGCATACATAATTTTTCTTCTCCTGTGGAAACAAGAGTGAAATGTAACATGAGGGGCTGCTTGTTGGGGTTTCGGTCCTTCCCAGTTTCCACAGACAATAAGCCCCAAAGAAAATCACACAGAGGTCTCCATAAGTTATAAAACTTATTGGCCCATTAGCTCAGGCTTTGTATTAGCTATTATAACTTATATTAACCCATTATTCTTATCTATGTTAGCCACATGGCTCAGTACCTTTTTTAGCGGGGTAGGTCTCATCCTGCTTCTTTGGTGTCTGGACAGGACTACAGAGAAATGGACTTTTTCCTTCCCTGAATTCTCCTTTCCCTGCCTCTACTTCCTGTCTGGTTGTCCCACCTATACTTTCTGCCTGTAGAAGTAACTATATTAAGAGGTTCATTAAAATCCCTTAGCACTCTAAGAATAGCATATAATTCAGCCTTCTGGACAGAATTATAAAGGCTTTGTTCCACCTTACTTAATTCTTCTGGTTTGTAATTGGCCTTCCCTGATTTATTTGCATCAGTGAAAATGCACAGTCTCTAGTTATTGGTGCATCACGTACAATTTGGGGAAGAATCCTAGAAGTTCTCTTTATAAGGTTAAGTCTATCACTTTTGGGATAATTGCTACTAATTTCTCCCCAAAAATTAGCACAAGCCCTTTGCCAGGGTTCATTGTCTTCCTATAACTTTTTTATTTCTTCAGCAGAAGGCACTAATAATCTCTGTTGAGTCTATACCTGCTAATTGGCAAAGTATCAATTTACCTTTTATAATTAATTCAGAGACCTTTTCCATATAAGTTTTTAATTTTTCACTTGGTTTATGTGGTAAAAAGTTCCATTCTAAGATAATATCGTCCCTCTGCATTAAAATTCCTGTAGGAGAAATTCCAGAAGGCAATATGGCTAGAATACAATTAAGATTTGAATTCACCCTATCCACATGTGCCTCTTGTAATTTTTCCTCAACAATCATCAATTCCTCTTCTGCTTCAGCTGTTAAATCTCA